CCCACCCCACCCCGCCATGGCTCATCTGCACAGGCGAGGCTCAGTCAACACACCATGACTTCCTGCTGAGGGTGATCCCTGTTTCGTCCCCACACCAGTGTGCTGGCTTTGGGACCGAGGTGGAGACCGGTGTTCACGGCCCCATCTGTGTGTCTGGAACTGTCCCGGGCACATGGCAGGTGGCCAGAAATACTGGTTGATTAATATGAGCAGATTTCAAGATAGTGCAGAGTGATCTCGTTTTGTCTTTGAAAGCTCATGGGCACACACACAGGTAACATGTACGCGCCAGGAGCGGCTGGGAGGTTGGCGGGTGGCTGTGCCCCTCTCTTCTCGGTCCAAACCCCTGCGCTGTCCTCTGCTCTCCCGCCGACGTCCTCGGCCTGGCCCGTACTCCCACGCCCTTGCTAACGTCGCCACGTGGCCAAACCCAAGGTCACCCCTCCGGCCCTCTCTGGTTTGAGCTTCAGGCAGCACCAGAACGGGCCCAGTGCCTCGACTTCAGGGGGTCAGCCTCTATATTCTTTGCTGACCCCTGATGCCGTGGCTCCTTATCTGCTTATTAATCTGCAACCCAGGGCCGGGGCTGGGTCTCCAACTGCATCTCTCCCTGCACGGCCTCCTCCCCACCCCCCGCCACCAGCATGGCCACCTGTGTCCCCCGAGCTCCTGACCTGAACTGCTCACCTGACATGTCCTCCCGAGTGTCCGACAGGCGACCAACCTTCACGTGCCCCCGAGGGGACTTGGGGTGCGTCCCGTCCTCCTGGGGAAATGACGCCGACCCTAAGCAGCTGCTGAGGACGAGACCCTAGAGTGTCCAGACCCCTCCCTGTCACGGCGCACTGACCTACACTGATCCAGAAGATGGCGTGCTTGCTCTCGGGTGCGTCCGTCCCGTAAGGAAGCAGTGAGCTCCGTGCACGAGGCGGGGCCGGGTCTCCAGGGAGCCCCCATCAGCTTTCCTTTCCATACATCCCAAAGCCACGACTTCTCACCATGTCCCCAGACCACCCTGGTGGCAGCCACCGCCTTCCATGCACATCGATGGGTCTCCCCCCACCTGCCCTGCTCCTGGTCTGCTCTGATGTCGGCAAGCCATCTCCCTGTCCCCCGTCACATCCCAAACTCTTCCCTGGTTTGGCTCGAGCCTCTCCTCATCTTGCCCCCTTGCACCCGCGCTCGCCACGTCGGGCCACGCCGCCCTGTCCTGATGTGCCGGGGCCTTTCCTGTCCCCGGCTGCTGCACGTCCCCCTGGCTGGTCTTCTCGGCCCACGTCACCTCCTCCGAGAGGTCTGTGCTGATGACACGCCGCCATTCATCTTCATCCCATGAAGGGTTTGTCTCCTTCATCGCATGCACCACCAACCAGCTCTTCCTGCCCTCACACGGGAGCTCCAAGGTCTGGAAGTGTTGACCTGCACCCCTAACACCCTGTGCCTTCCCGGGGGCTCCCAAAATGCCTGTTAAACGGGAACGTGCTCGTCTCTCCTGTTTGGAGTTTCCACGGGGAACGCACGCTGTGCACAACACAGACTCCCCACGTGCAGCTGCCGCTTTGCTCTCTGGACGGGTCTGCTAGAACAGGGTCTCTCAGCGGACCCCCTGCCTCTCCTCCTGCAGCCCGGACCCCCCGTCTGCCCGCAGGACACCCAGAATGCTTCCGGTCCTGCTCCCCCAGACGCCCGTCCGGTGCTCGCTCGCGGCTCCGCTCTCGGTTCACCGTCCTCGCGGCCTTGACGTTACTTCTAGGGCGTCCGCCCTCCTGGTCACTTTGCCCGTGCGATTCCACTTCCCCCAAGACCCTCTTCAAAGTGTGGCCAGCTTGGAGGCTGCCAGCGCGGGGATCGACCCACACGGGGGGCGCGGGCCACTCCCGGGTCTGCCCTCGGTATCCCGGTGTGACACGGCCGGCCTCAGCACGCCGGTATTCACGCTGGGCTTCCGGCTAACAACAGCGGCCCCGTTCACGCGTCCCCACCCTCGACGCACACGCCAACACTGCCCTTTACTCCTCACACTCCTGTTGGTTCCTCCCGTCCATCTGTCACCTGGCAGCTCAGGGTTTCCCAACGTTTGGGCTGGACCCTTCTGTTCCAGGGGCTGTCCTGTCCATGACAGGCTGGCCTCCACTCGCCGACAGTAGTACACCCCAGTTCCCCAAGTGCGACAACCCCAACCGTCTCTAGGCGTTTCCGAATGTTCCCCGGGGGCAATGTTCCCCGGGTCCCCCGACGGGAGACCACCGTGTTCGCGGTTTTGGCCTGCTCACAAACGTGACCTGTTCCTTCCGTTCCATGAGCATCCTCGCCCGTACGTCCGATGTTCACACCTCCCCTTGTGTGGTTCCCTAGCACCATCACCGTGAGCAAAGGGCAGGGCAGGGCAGGCCGGAAGAGAGTGGAGTCCGTGGACGTAAAGGAGCCCAGGGACCTAGCTTGCCGGCGCTTCGGCACATGACTCAGCACCGCGGCACTAAGCTTGGGCCGTTCCCGGCACAAACACCAACCAGAAGCACAAAGAAACGCAAAAACATGGCCCTACACAGACCACCAGAAGGACCCTCGTGTGGAGCGTGAGGCCAGACAAGGAGGCAGGGCGTCGCCTTATCAAGCTTCAGCTGGGAATGGGGTGTCAGGACGCTCACATTTTTCACCGCCCTGCGTGCGCCCACAAATGACCACACAGACACGGAGAGCGTAGGCTGGGGGCTGCAACTAGGTTCCAGTGAGGAGGCGAATTGTCAACGTGGAATCTGTGAATAATGAGGACTGACTACGGGATCTCTCACTCCTCACCTCCACTGCAAAGGCCCATCCTTGCGGCCAGAGACGCACAGTGTTGCTTTGGGATAAGACTATGTTCTCAGGGGCGCCTGGGTGGCTCAGGTGGTTGAGTGTCCAACTTTGGCTCAGGTCATGATCTCATGGCTCGTGAGTTCGAGCCCTGCGTCGGGCTCTGTGCTGGCAGTGCAGAGCCTGCTTTGGATCCTCTGTCCTTCTCTCTCCGTCCCTCCCCTGCTCATTCTTCCTCCCTCCCTCTCTCTCTCTCTATCCCTGAAACAAAAGTCTATGTTCTTAAACTTGTTATTCTTGTTCCCTAAACCCATGTTCATTTCAGTGCTTTGAGCCTTGGTGTAGGAACAGAAGAGGTGGCCTGTGTCTCTGTACCTCTGTTTTTCTTAAGCCCCATCTGTCCTGGGTGTCAGAAGCCCGGACAAGTGCTTCAGGATGTCTGCTTTTCTTAAGACCCACTGAGCCGTGGCTCCTACAGGTGCTGAACCTTCGACCACAGGGTGCGTCTCCTTCCACTTCCTGCAGAGAACATCTCCAACAGCACTTAGCACGCTGAGGGGGTGGGTTTCGCGTCACTGGGCCCCAGAGCCTCCCCATATCATATGGACGGAGGCAACAGCGGCAGCGATTAACGGCGCTCTGGGGAGACATTTGTGGACAATCTCTGCCATAGCCCCGCCACGGAGGGGAACAAAATCAGAAAGATGCAGAAAAGTAACAAAAGACCCTGGCGTATCACACTCAGAGGCACACGGCCGCCTCGATGCAAAGCAGCCGTGATAGAGATTTGCCTGGGAATTTCCTCTGTGGCTTCAAGCTGAGAGAATTAAGTGTGGGGCTTGAGTAAAAGGAACAACCTCACAGTTCGGTGAATTTGCATAAGAGGAAAGAGTCCAGCCTTCAGGGACAACAGGGCTTCCTGGGGGCTGGGCAGGGGCTGGCCGATTAGTCACAAGAGACGGCCAGGCTGGGGCGGGCACAGCGGGGCTGCCCCCGAAGTCCCCACAGACGACCACCCTTGGCGGGTCTGCAGGGAGCCGTGGGCGGTGCCTTCTGCGTGCAGGATCTGGCCACGTGGAAGGCGACGCGTGGACACAGATGCCGTGGCTCCCGGCCCGAGTCAGCCCTGTGTCCACCAGCCCGCCCTCGGTGAGACCGCCCCGCGGTACTGTCCCCAGCCTCCCCGGGGCCTGCCGTCCAGCCACACCGCTGCTCGTCCGAGACAGAACCACACAGAGCGATCTCTGCCAAGCATTCCCCGATCTGGGTTTGCAGGAAAGCACATTTCTTAGAATAGAGGCACACGTTTCAGAAATAAAACGTAAGTCTAAGGCTGGCTGGACAGAGTGACTTTTTGCTAATGTCTACAGGTGAGGAGAAGTGTCAACACTGGAAAATATCATCCAGACCTTCAAAGCAGAGTTCTCTGGCCACACGTCAAGAGCTGGAAGCCACTACCGGCCCATCAGGGAGAGGCTGATGTGGCTCAGCCAGCACCCGGCTTCTCAGGCCCCACAAGGGAACCTCGCTCTGGGCCATCCCGATGCTTCTCCGCTGATGCGGCCGCACAAATCGCAGCTCTTAGGCTCTCATGTCAACACACAGGCTAACTCTCGACATTCGTGGTTGCAACTAAGCGAGCAGCCCACCTCAAGCGATTTAACGTCAAAACAGAAATCACTGAAGGTATATTTATTTATTTTGAGAGGGAGAAAGAGCAAGGGAGACGCAGAGGACAGTCAGAACCCTGTGCCGAGCCTGCCGATGCCCGGGCCCAGAAAACCCGCTCCACCTTCCCCGGGGAGGGAGGGCTACCCCCGCGGCCTGTCCGCGGGGGCTCCGGGCTCACGCAGACGTGCGCCTCACGGGTGGGGCTCCTGAATGAGGACGCTTGCTTGTTCACAGGTGAGCTGGTGCCTAGCCAAGAATCCGTCAACACAGGATGACGTCCAAGGTGTCACCGGGTCACATCCCGCCCTGCTCTCCTGAGGAGGGAGAGGGTGGGGTTGCAGCCAGCAGGTCCCAGGACGTCCCGGCCCAGCCACTGTGGCCCGAAGGCACCCTGGATGTGGCTGGCAGCTGTCCCCGGCCTCTCTGCAGGGCAGACCACACAGGGAAGCAGGACCGGCCGGAAAACAGCCACGGTTTTCCACGGTCCCGCCCCAGGTGATGCGCAGGGAGACCCTGGTCACCCCACAGACGCGTGGCTTCTCCTGTCCCGTCCGCAGGGGCCTGGCTGAGGCTTTCAGCTTCTGGACACTCTTTCTTACGTTCCCGTCCCCGCACCTCATTCACACAAACTGCAGGGACCCTGCAGCTGCCAGAGAACCCGGACCACGTGATTTCAACCCACCGGGACGCGCTAACGTGGGCTAAGACATCTACGGCAAGTGCTTCTCAGTACACACCCAAAATCACTATGACTGTTTTCTTTTCTTTTTTTAATGTTTACTTATTTTTGAAAGAGAGAAAGACACAGAGAACGAGCAGAGGAGGGGCAGAGAGAGGGAGGGAGACTCAGAATCTGAAGCAGGCTCCAGGCTGTGAGCCATCAGCACAGAGCCCGATGCAGGCCTTGAACTCACGAGCCATGAGATCATGACCTGAGACGAAGTTGGATGCTTCACCAGCTGAGCCATCCAGGCACCCCCCAACCCTAAGCTATTT